GGACTCGGACCATTTGTCTGAGATCCCTAGGTTGCAGTTGTGACCTCCACACGATTACTTGAATCTACCCGTGGACCGTGGCTAGCCGACGTCTCTTTCACCGACATCAGTACCTGAATTAATGGCTGCAGATACGACTGGTAATTCCAAAGCATGTGTCCTCGACACGATTACTTGAATCTACCCGGTCTAACATTGCATCGGCGGCCTTTTTTTTACTAAAACCCCTACGTTGCTATCGACCGGAACATAATGACCCTATTCGCTTTGCTAAAAAAAAAAGCTAAAATATTGTTCCAGCTGATTTGTTGTGAAAGAAAAATACTGTTTCGACTAAAAACCAAGCTAAAAAAAAGATGGATTATAAGAGAAATGAACAGCACCCACGGATTAAGAAGCTATCGATCCAGGCAACACTGGTCATCAGAGCATGGCCTTTGTTTTTGTGATCGTGCGCAGACGCCAGCCGGCAATGGGGCCCTACACCATCTTCATCAACAAAACATAAGGCCTTGTTTAGATCACCTTCAAATTCTAAATTTTTTCACTTTTTTCTCCATCACATCAATTTTTGAACGCATGCATGGAGTATTAAATGTAGATAAAAAAAAAACTAATTACACAGTTTGGTTGTAAATCACGAGACGGATCTTTTGAGCCTAGTTAGTCCATGATCGGACAAAGTTTGTCAAATACAAACGAAACGTGCTACAATGTCCAGGTTATAAAAATTTGCAATCTAAACAAGGCTAAAGAAGAAACTGGAATGCCGGCAGTTCAGAAGTGGCGTTCTCCAACTTGAAGCAAAAAAAATGGTTTTTTCAAAACGTGCTTAAGCAAAAAATGGTGTTTTCAATACGTGCTTCCATAGCTGGACACTACCTTCGATGCCTCCAAGACCGTATAGCAATCATCAGCGGACCAAAGTCTTCCGTCGTTGGATAATTAATAGACTAAACGTGGACTAATTAAAATTTTCTTTTTTCTAATGAGTTCTACTAATCCATTAGCCTCTATTAGTTTTTGTTAGATCATGATTAGTTAATGTTTAGGCCTTCTATTTGGTATCAAAAGATGGACTAGTTTAGTCCATCCAAACAGGCTCGAAATGAAACAGGGCGAAACAGCGTCCCGACTCAAATGAAGTCAATAGAACTGACTAGGAGGCGACGAGGCGTGATGTAAATAGTAGTACTAACTTGTTTGCTGCAGGTCCATCAATTGCGATATCGAGCTGTATTCATTGCCAGTTTCAGTTTTAACCACAAGATTTGCATGATCATGAACCACAGCGCTGCTGCTATTTTAACAGCCACAGCGCTGCCGCTGCTAGTTTTTGTTGATGATTGAACAGTACAAGTAGGTAAGGAGCGCAGCAGCAACAGCCTCAGCGTTGCTGCAGCTAGCTCTTCCGAGTAGCTATGCCACCGTCAGATACTGAGTCTAACAAGTCGACTGAGATATCACTCTTTCAGGCATAAAGAAAGCTGGAACTGGCACAAAGGTCACAAGCTCCACATGACGCACTATGCCACCGTCAGAGGAAAAGGACATGCACTTCGCTGATGCAGTAACCAATAAATAGTTATGGCTCCGATCCCTCAGAGCAGCTACACTAATTGGTGGACAAAACAATAAGAGGCTGCCGCTGTGCAGCAAAGACAGCCGATCAGGCTCACAGATTCACAACTAACAAGAAGCTGGGGCAAAAACGTGCACCGGTGTTAAGAAGCGTCATTTTCAAAACAGTCAGATATGCACAGATGAAACGTCTAGTCATCCCATTTAGCAGTGAACAGTGCACGACATTTCCATCACACAAACTCATATGCTGCCAGAAATAATTTTCTTCACACGATTGTGACCAAGACCAACCTTGCAAGCCTGCACATGACATTACGCCCTTTAATCTTCTGAGTGGCATGTCCAATACACCAGCCCGCTGCAAGGGTGATGGGAAGTCAGTACACAAACTGGACAAGTGTATGAGGGAGTGAAATATTTATAGTAGTAGATGGAAATTGCAGGCGTACCTTATCAACACAAGAACACATTGCAGAACGCCAGCAACACCAGTCCAGACAGAAGGGCCCTTGTTCGTCAGCGCGTCTTGCACCAATAAACCCACAGATCCAGCTAGGCAGACAAAAGAAACGACATATGCCACAAAAAGCCAGAGCTTCACTCTACAATGTAAAGAGACCAAGGTTAGAATATTCTATGCAGGTATCACAGGAAAAAATCCTTCTTACACCTTAAATTCCATTTGAGCACATTCCAGCACCCAGAAATTGGTCCAGTCTTGTTAAAGAACCAATGAGGCAGTTTTCAGGTATGCAAAAGATATGTCCATTTGGGATTACAAGGACAACACCATGACTTACTGAACCTGATGAAAAGTGATGCATCACATAGCACAATGCTAGAAACTTGAGGCTCTTCAATTAGAAAGCACAAATTTAGTTAAGGAAACTTTGGCTAGGTGGCACATGTACTTGCCACTGAATGTAAGGATGACTGGAACACACGTCTATACTACTCATGTTGAAGATCCACTTTGAAAAAAAATCCAATGCCTCTTTCAAATTTTTGAAGCAGATTGACTTAGAGGCATGGCTTGTATGACGCCTTACAATATTATCTCATCGTGTAGGATATATGCTAAAGCAGTCCAGCCACTCTTTTGTTTACCAACATATGGTTTTCTTCTAACAACTTTCCTTGATTTTGACATTTTGAAAAAAAGTGCAAATGATTTATTTTACAAGCTTTATGTTGCTGCAGGTGTCTTTAAAATCTAGATCCATACAACCTATCTGACCAGGATCTCAATCAGTGTAGTTGTTCAAAAAAGAAAAAGCTTTCCTGGAAATAGTTCTATATCAACTGTTAGAAAAAAAATCTAAAATATTATCAAACAGCAAATGGTCAACTATTGTCGGGTAGGGGAGAGCGGGGGGGGGGGGTTGGAAATGGCATAACAAGGATACAAGATACATTGATGTAGAGAATCATGTGCATAACCAAAATCAAACACAACTGTGTCAAGATTTCATGGAGCAGGAACAATGTCCTCCAGTATGTCATCCTGATTTAAAAAGCTAATGTTTCCAAATTACAACTCAAGTCAAACAAGTCTATTTGACCTATTTTATATTGGTTCTGCAGCATCAAGATCAATGACAAGACAGTATTTGAAAAACAAATGTATGTAATCCCATTGTGCAAACTCAACAGCAAAACAAATGGGGTGCAAAACATGAAAACAGTGTCCTGGGTAGGACAACCCTACTAACAAGGAGTAACACTTAAAGTCATTGCTATACCTAAATACAAAAGTTATATTTGACAGAAAGAGATGTTATATCTTGATTGCATTACCTTAATAAACATATACGAGGATAAAGACATTATGACCCATGATCATGGATAATTTGTAACAGTGGAAACTCCTACTCCCGAAAGATATGAAATTCACAAATTTGTATGATTACCAAAAGAGTAGTCCAACTAGTTGTCTAAGTAGTTCCATAAGTCCCCTAGAAAAAAAAAATCTTATGACTTTCCATATGGTAGTCCAACTAGATCCCACAAACAACTGCCTCCTCCTTGCTATGTCCATAGCAGAGTTACCAGAGTGGGACAGCAGTTGTTTCAAACATGAGTTAGTAAGTAATCCCTCATAAAGCTGGGCAACTCCCTACAAGACCAAATCCCTCATAAAGCTGGGAGACTCCCTACAAGACCACACCTTTACAAAAAAACATTTTCAGCTCATAACCACAATGCTACATTCGGGGTTGTTTGGGAGAGCTCCCAGCTCTAGATTCTCCGTGAGAATCACTCCTAGACAGCCAAACGAATAAAACAAACTAGATTCTGCCATTCTGGTGGGATGACAAGAATCGCTTCTCCATTTAAACTGTGAGCTGGGAGCTGAAAGAACCTGCTCCCCATCGCTCCCCTTCAATCCCCACAAGAATCACTCCAAAATCACATCCCACTGCTGTCCACCAGAATCACTCCATCAGATAATCAGGGAGCTGGAGCTAAGAATCAAGAGTGAAGCTCCACCAAACAGGCCCTTATTAGTTTCCTGATTACAACAATTCTAAGTCCAGTGCCTGCTTATGAAGATGGAGATTGACCCAAATCAAAAGTCTGACATCATTGTAAAATGGTTTATTTACATCGCATGCAAATTCACGTGATTCCTGAAACTGTGCTTATTTTTAATCGTACAGATAATATCAAGTAACCCGGGCTCGACTGAATCATATGGATTTCAAAACCCTAAATTCATCCACCAATTCCATCAACCTTTAACAAAATATAAGCAGTATCCTCACCTCCACTCTGAATCGTCCCCGTAGGGCGAGTAATAGTCGTATCCGATCTCATCCTTGTTCACGCAATTGAACATGAGCGCCGCCAGCGTAGCGAATATCCCTGAAAAACCCGCACGCCCAACGAAATCACACCGATCAATCGGACCCCAAAACTCGCACGAGAAAAAAAAGATGGGGGCTACTCCCCGAATCTTAGGGCTCCTGCTCTCACCTGGAAGGTAGTGGAGGAAGGAGACCTGGACGGCGCTGCAAACGACCGCGTCCACCCAGAACCACCATCCAGCCCCGAAGATGGCGCCGGACACGCCAGGGCCGATGATCCCCCAAAGCAGCGCAAGGTTCTCCATGGTCGCGGCCTCTCCTCACCAACTCCTCCCACCAAGCAATCTCCTCGTCGGGTCGTTCCGCCCTTCTCCCTTCTTCGCCGAATTGTTTTTTCCCAAGCGGAAACTGGAGCGGTGGAGGCTGAAGGTGGGTGTAGTAACACTGGGCCAAACAATTTCCGTCCAATAAAGAAAGCCCAACTCGGGATTTCTTTGGGCCTATTGCGCCACGCATGTTTATGGGCCTAGCGAATCGCGTTGAGATGGACGACGGGGTGGCGCTTGCAACCTGCTGGGGATGTTGGTGGCGGTGCGGCAGGAAGAGACGATGGCGAGGGGTGGCGCGTGGGCCGCGGCGGCGGCGGTGTGGTGGATGGCGGCGGGGGCCGGGGCGGTGTGGCTGGAGATTGCGCCGTCAGGGACTAAGTGTGTGTCGGAGGAGATCCAATCCAACGTTGTCGTCATCGGCGACTACTCCGTCCTCTACGATCACCACCACGCCCACCCTACCATCGCCGTCAAGGTAACCAATCGTTTGGACCTACAGATGCAATATCTAAAATAGACTAAAACGGCATTGCCACGTAATTAGTTTAAGGGAGAGAATTGAACGAAAATAGTTGACACCGTAATTAATTAATTAGCCGACCTAGAAAACACCATTGGGTTTGGGTACATCCACCAGATCGGGATTCATCCAAGCAGTACAGCGTGGGAGGTGTTAGGCAAAAATATTGTTATGTACATTGTAAATTTTGTGGATTGGTTGGTACTCCTATATTTTCTATGCTTTTGTGTTTGTGTACACTGGAAATGGAATGGAAGTGCATTATGTGTAGTAACTGTTATTATTGGAAGGGAAGTGCATTATGTGCAGTAGCTGTTATTTCTTTGATGTTATGGATTTATGGTATATATTAGTTACTCTTACCTAACAATCGATGACAATTGTCAACTTGAGCACATTGGACATGTGATTAGCCATTGGGATATATCATACATGTCTCCTTTCATTGTGGTCATACCCACGCAGTCCGTGGGCATACTCAGAAAAACACCATTTGAAAACTATTCTGCTAGCTCAAATGCATGATAAAAATAAAAAAACAATTTTGTTCTTCGTAGAAGATACATAACTCTCTTTATTGTTTGAGAAAGAAAATCATTGTGTGATTTGATTCCTGTTGCGGCTCCCCATTATCCTTAGGTTCAGTCAAATTGATCCTGAATAAGGCAAGTTATTGATTCCTTTTGTCCTAGGCCTTCTCCATTTTTTTCTACAGTATTGTTTGTGGTACATCAAATGGATCGCGGTTACACTGTTAGTTCTTCAATAATGAAACTGGAAGATGCTGTCCAAAACCTTGCTTATCTTGTATGGGCCATAAACTCACCCGGGAACTACAAATGGGCAACATTTTGTTGGATAGATTTGTGATTATGAATCAGGAGACATGTAATCCACCTCCATACTATCATATTTATCTGCAAATTAGTTTTCAATTTGCATTCACGGTGTTACATCTTGTGAATAGGGTGTATGAGTTACAACAATTTTATCCACAAAAACTTTTTGACTTATTTGCACATGGTAGTAGTAGTGGATAAATCTATTGCCATTTTCACTTCATTGAGAACATATTAGTAAGTAGTAACTTTGCTGGGAGAGGAACTGGACATTGAGTGGGAGTTGTCTGATTGAAGATTGTTACATCATTGACCATTTATGTTCCGCTAACATGCTTACATTTCTTTCGGGAATCATTATTTCAGGTTACATCCCCTTTTGGAGACGTTGTTCATAAGAAAGAAAAGGTTTCAATGGAGCAATTTGCATTTACCACAGCAGAAGCAGGGAACTACCTTGCCTGCTTCTCGATTGATGGTGAGGACAGAGGGTTAGTGGTGAAACTAAATCTTGATTGGAAAATTGGGATAGCTACTAGAGACTGGGATTCTGTTGCTAAAAAGGAAAAGATCGAGGTGAAGTATATGAAAATGAGGTGTTATACTGCTGGTTGTTGTTTTGTTTTATTCCCCTTCCATATGACATCAAGTTTTATAATCAGGGAGTTGAACTGGAGTTACTAAAGCTTGAAGTTGCTGTCCAATCAATCCATGAGAACCTGCTTCTTCTAAAATCCAAGTCTGTGCATCCACTTATTTTCCTAGCTTCATGTTTTGGTTATTCATGTACCTGGCTGATACCCAGGGTATAATAACAATCTATTTAACAATATTATTCTCGGTGCAGAGAAGCTAACATGAGGGATGTTAGTGAAAAGACGAATTCTAGGGTCACGTGGTTGAGCATGCTCTCTCTTAGTGTTTGCATTGCAGTCTCTGTTTTACAGTTGTGGCATCTACAGCAGTACTTCCGAAAGAAGAAGCTCATCTAACTGATGTCCGTAATATTGTCCTCTGCAATAAGCCTATCTTTATGTTTTGTGTTTTTGCATACTGAGATCTGATAGTTTCGCTGTCTGAGTCTAGCAATTGTAAATAAACTGGTATAACAACCTGAAATCCCAAGTCAGATGACATGAGACTGCTGTTTTCCTTGTTCAACTTACTTTTGCAGCATGGGAAGCAATATTTTTTTTTCTTCCATGTACAGCTCAGGGATACCTGTACTACAAACATCCAACCTCATGGTGCCATTGACCCTCTTGCCACAGCCACAAGAAAGTCTCTGTAATCACTCTCAGGCAAGTTTTCTTGGATGTAGTCTGCAAGGTTCCTTCCATAACTACTCTTGAACGCTGATCTGATCTCATCTATACCGACATCATCACTGCCCAAGATAGCTCTTGTTACCATCCTTTTATCTGCAGATAGCATACTTCTCTGCAGTAACTGGAAATATCAAGAGCAGAAGAGTGAATTAGAACAGGTACAAAACAGTCAGGCTTTTCGATACTGATCCAAGGGCTTCTGGGATTTTATTACCTTTGAGTAATACTTGGAAGGGTTGTAGATGCACTTGACAACAACCCTCAGAGATTCTTCAAATTCACCAGACCCATTTATCTTCAGTGCCTGCATGCATACACATTGTTGCAAGGTAGTCATAACAGAGTCACTGAGCAGGGCTGCAGGAGGTGGATGGCCCGAAGTAGCTGATGAGTCCACTTGCCTTGGTATAGTCATGCCCATATATGCGCTTGTAGCTGCAGAAGGCCAACCTGAGCTGTGGGATGCTCCTCTTGCTGAACATCTCAAGGATCACAGCCTCGTCGACGACGGAACCGGCACCACTGTTCTTCGTGTCGTGCAGCCTCCTCGCGTCGCATTTGGCTACGTGCTGGCTGAGGTCGTCGTGGTGCGACCTGTGGGAGGCTGCGAGAGCTAGCAGCAGCTGTTTAAGCAAACAACAATGACGGTAGTCAGTCAGGTTAAGTTCAGGTGGTGGTAATGGTTTAACACCATGACAGCAGAGAAGAGAAGTGAAGAAGGATGGGCACATGCCCTCTGGTAAGGGTGAGACGGCTCGGTGACCATGTCCTGGTCCAGGCTCCTCCTGAACCTGGCCATGTATGCCTGCTTGGTGAAGAAGAGCTGGTCCTGCTTCCGGCGCGTGAACACCTCGACGAGGGCGCGGTAGCCGGCCACGGTGACGCCGCCCTCGACCGCCTCCCGCGCCACGACCGCCTCCCGTTCCGCCGGCTCCAGCGCCCACAGGTAGAGCAGCCTGCAGAGCTGCAGGGAGGAAACCGCGCGCTCGTGGTGAGCTGAGACTGAGAGCTCGGTCGCCGTCACTGCGGCCGAGACGACTCCTGTGGGGCCTCTGCGATGATTTTTTTACCTCGTCCTCCTGGTTGCTGGAGTTGGACATGGCCACGAGGGTGCCGTGCAGCGTCCCGGCGAGGTCCTCGCCGAACGTCGCACGGTACGCCGCCCTGATCTGCTGCCTCTCGGCGGGGCTCCGCGGAGCCAGGAGGAGGCCCAGGCGCCGCGGCGTGCCGCACGCGCCGCGGATCTCCCTGCACGCCTCCTCGGACCCCGCAGAGGCCATGGTCGCCGCCGTCTGAATGAAGTGTTCGCTGTAGAGAACTCTCTGTTAGACTGGCCCTGACCCTGGCCCGTCCAGATTCCAGAACGCGCGGCCGTATAAATACCAGGCATTGCTCGCGGCGGTTTCCTTTCCCTTGGTTGGAGGTGGAAAGGGAAAGGTATCTTCTTCTTCTCGAATGGAAACGGGCGGACGCAAATCCCGGGTCGCACTCGGTGTAGGCACTGATGAGTGAGGGCAAGGAGCAGGATTTCAGTTTCAGAGATGCTGATCCCGGGATCAGCCTTTTCAGCTTCTCGCAGTCTTCTTTCTCTGTACGCAAATGGATCGCTTACTAGATCGTACGGTGTGTAAATACCATCCTTATCGTACGTACGATCAGGATAAAACATTGCGTGCCAAACGTCTCTGGTCAACTGGTAGGAGTGCCCTGGCGGCACTCCTCACGCCTTAGTCCTGGGTTTGACTATTTGTGGAAGCAAATTTCAGATTGGGGTTAAAAAAATCCTCTCGTCTGTACCATGTCAAAGCATAGGTCTAAGGACCGGCCTGTTCTCACGGGGCGACGATGCCATTGTGTAAGGGTGGGACAGTGGTTTCCTGGACCTGCGTGAGAAGGTTTTCTTCCTAATGCATTGTCTGGGGATGATCATACCCTCGCACGTCCAGTTTTGATTCCTTTGGTTGTGCAATGAAATGTAGCGTACAGTAGCATTTTGCAGGTGTGGGTCATTCTCATTCACATTCACAGGCTCATACGGTTGTCAGGCGAAAAGGTCAGGTGTACGAGTAAGACGGTCTCCAATAACGTAACCCAACCCCAAAATGCGTCGTGCACAGTGAATAAGCGGCGAAAAACAGCCTCCAACCGAGTACGCAAACACAGCACTCATTTTGGGTCCGAGGTGACGCGGAAGGCAAATAAGCGTCGTCGAGGAGAGACGACGCAAAAATCTTGCGCCCGTCGTGGTGGGCCCGCGGACGAGATGACGCCGAGGACCGTATGGGCGCTTCGCCAGGTGGCCGCTGCCAGGTAGCCTTCGCCCTAGCGCGCCCGGCCGAGGAAGGCTCCAGCGCTTTGTCTTGAAAAGCGGCACCATGGAGGCCCGGTCGCGGCTACGGACACCACCGAGGCTGGCCGCGCCGGAGCGCCACGGGCGAAGCACCGGGGCGGTGGAGGGAGAGAGAGAGAGAGAGGCGCACGGCCGGAGGAGGAGAGGGAGCGCCTCCTACTGGCCGGATTTGGGCGTCGGGAGATGGTGAGGAGCCGGTGGTGGTGCGCGGACGGAGAGGTGCTGGTGGTGGCGGGCAGCCAGCCTCCTCGCCAGATCTGGGAGGTGGAGAGAGGGAGAGGGCCTGGAGAGAGCGCAGGTGGAGAGAGGGAGAGAGCCGGTAGATATTTTGTTCCTATAGACGAAATTTTAGGTTCTCTTTTTTTAGAAAGAAAACTTTGAGTTGGTGACTCAATGACTATGGGTGATCTAATTTTTAGAATGAGTCTTGTATTTGGATTTGGGTTGTTGGAGACGGTCTAAAAACCGTGCGTGCCCTGCAAAGGCAGCCCACTGAACTGTAAAAGGGGATCCATAAAGCTTTTCGTGGCGGGTGGTGGTATGTGAGCGGCGCCCGTTCGTGGATTCCCCGTAGACGCCGAGTCAAGTCGTCCGCCTCCGCGCTCTCTGGTCGGTGGCTTTGCCTTCCGTTCCGTCGCTGGGCAGGCGTTGTTCCCTTTCACTGAAGAACCGAGATGGATCGCCCGGCCAGAAAGAACTCCCTATGTGCGCGCGCGTTGGTGGATTTTGTGTGTGTTGAGTTCTTTTAGTTGGTAATAAAGCACGGTGCAGCTGCGAATGTGCGGATGGCACGGATGCTTGCTTGTGCGCTGCCCCCTCCGCAACGGTTTCTCCCTCCTACGCAGCACGCATGGGTGCGTGGAAAGTGTGTGGTCTCGAAACGCAAACGCTTCGGCGCAGTGGGGCATTCCGTGCTTGCTTGCATGTTTCCGATGAGGGCGCGCGTGCAGGGGCGTGCTGAACTGCTGATTCTGCCAGTGGCTGGTGACTGCTGGCGGCTGGTGCGTGTGATGTCGTCACTCGTGATGATCGCTGCTTGCCTGCTTCAGGGGGTGGCTGTCTGGCTGCCTGGCTGCTGCGCGACCCCAAGTGCACAGGCACAGGCTGTGCGTCTGTCTTAAAACGTGGGAAGGCTCATGCCAAGCGCCGCACACGTGTGGGCCGGGTGGGGGATGCCGACGAGCTAATGCTCACAACCTCTCAACATAAGGTTTACAGAGATCAGGCCCAACAAGGCAAAATCATCATCATCATCAGAAACTAAAATCAATTCTATAATTTTTTCTCGAACGTGCAGGAGAGCTACGTATCATTTCATTGAAATGAGAAGAAAGAATCGTATATAGATCCGAACACACACCTCCTAATAACTTGAGACCTTAAAACTTAAAGGAAAGAAACGACCGGACCAAAACAAACAACACCTAAGAGAACCACGTGCCATTGAGCAGGGAGAGGCCCTTCGCTCCTGCCAAACACCAGAACTCAGCTTGCTCCTTTGTAAGGAGCAGCGCCGTGTCCAGTCTAGGGGTGGTTCCACTGAAAACACAGTCATTTCTATGTCTCCAAATGGTCCAAGCACCAAACGTGATGAGAGTGTTCATCTTCTTGGTCACACAGCGGGCATTTGTCTAGATGGGAAAGGCCGCGCCGAATTCCACAGTTTAACAACCATAAGTCAATCATAAATCTGCTTACAAGCAAAAAAAAAAAAAATGAAAGCACAAAACATAGTGAAGATGGATCATTTTTTTATGAAACTTGAGCTTCATCACAAAGTCACAACGGTAGACTTCTTTAAAAAAAGTCACAACGGTAGACCCAAACTTAAGACGGTTCCATATATGCAACCCACAAGGGAGACCATTAGAATAGTGATTTTTTTCCCTAGATGATTTTTGTTTACATGTAAACATAAGCTTTTATAGCATCGGAAGACAAAGCTCACAAAGATAACAAGCTCCACAATGCAAGAAGGCAAAATTCGAATGCTCAGCAACTGCTCTATATATATAGACTTACAGAGGAACCGGTTTAGTTAGTTTGCAAGATGGAAGGTGTTATACTTAATACTTAATCAAGACCTTAATTAATCTAACCACATGGACACCTAATCTGTTGTTAGCACTTATCCCTTAATTGTGCTTAATTAAAACTGGCATGTGCAATAGCCCGCTGAAGTCCTCGCGCTTGCTTATCCAACAGGTGTGGTGTTAGCGTATATATAGATGCAGAGGCGATGTGACGAGCGAGTAGGTCTCTTATCTTATGGCACGGGTTAGCCTAGGATCAAACAGTTATGTCTGTTGAGTCCACCCACTATTAAAAAACAATTTTTAGCAATGTGAGCTTTTTTTATATAGGCAACTCTCTATAGTGGCCGATAATACGACTCTGAAAATAGATTTGGAGAGGTGGCTTTAAAACCAGCCGCCTCTACAAATGCATCGATCTTCAGAGGCAGCCGGTAAATACCAGTCGCCTCTGAAAGTTGCACTATTTTCAAAGGCGGATGGTAACAACAACCGCCTTCGAAGATATATTTGTAGAGGTGGTTGAAACATGAACCATTCGTGAAAAATTCCTCCGCGTCGAATAGACTCAAAATTTGGTCTCAAGACACAGTAAAGCCTAAGCATGGTAGGACAAGCCACTATACGCACTGTTGAACATGTGTGGGGCCCTCCACTCTATCTACAAACCATCAAGACTTAGGATTTTTTACGCAAGCTCTGGTCAAATCTCCACGCCACGGTGGATCCCCTTTGTCGCGTCAGTGCATGTTTATTATTAAAATATTAATAAAAAAGGATTAAAAATAAAAACACCCTGATCTAGTGCATTACAAATTTAGAGATTGAATTTGGTGGCACTATTTGGTCTTTGTGACTCAGGATTTCTTATTACTTTTGGTGATTGCTGTCACCTAGCTGGCTTGGTGCTTGTGGAGGATCATTGAGGAGCTCTTGGTGATTGTTGTTGCCTCCGATCATTGCTTATTGTGAGGGGCTTTATGCTCATTCTCGCGGGAAGATTCACAAACAATAACTATAGTGAAACCAATCTAGGTTTGGAGAAGTCCTTGATGATCTACCATCTTCTAAATGAAGTGGTGATCTAAGTATCCACATCAGTGGGGACGTAGGTTGCCGGCAAGCAACCAAACCTCGGGAAAAAAATCTTTGTGTCACTTGCCCTCGTTCGCTCTCTCAACACTTGCATTTACATTTCATATCTTGTTCTTGTGTTGTTGCTTGGTAGCCTAGCTTATCTCTAGTAAGTAGTGTAGTTTAGTTGCTCTCTTTGTTAGCTCACTAGTTGCTAGGTGGTAGTTCTAGTTGTTTGTGTGATTGAGTGCTTAATTACTTGTTCTTGCAACTAAAATTGTGTAGGGGGCTTGCTTTGTATTGACTAGGCTAGGCAAGTAGTAGCTATTAGGATTATCTCTCTTACTAACACACTTTGCCTAGTGTTTTGAGTTTGTAGATTTTTTATTAGGCTATTCACCCCTCTAGCCATCCATATGTCATTTCAATTGGTATCAAAGCCAAGTCATTGTATTTGCAAACGTTTAACAACCTATGGTGTAAAAGGATGGCCGCTCAACACACCTCTAGTAGTCGTGCTCCACACTTTGATGGCACCAGTTATGACAATATCAAATCAAGAGGTAGAAAGATTGGGGGTGTTGTGGAAAATTTGTTGTGCTTGATCCCAAGAATCCCACACCAAGAGAAGAAGAGCTATTGCAACTCAATGATCAAGCACTTGACATGCTATATGAGGTGCTAGATGACAAGGTGTTTGAAAGCATCAAAGATCTTGAGTATGCTTTCCAAGTTTGGTCAAGGCTAGAAGAGGCATATGAGGGCACTTCAATAGTAAAAAGTGCCAAGCTATTCATCTACAAAGACAAGTATGCCAAGTTCA